CTGTCCCCTGCAGAGACACACCTCACCACTACCTTCCCCAAAACACAGAGGGGACTCGTGTCCTCTGCTGGGACACATTTCTCTGCCAGGACATGTCTGCAGCTGGCACCGATGGCCCACACTGGCTTTGTGCAGGGTCCAAGGTGAGGGCGAGGCTGGGCCCAGGGACACAACACCTTTGCCAGGGGCCTCAGGGACACCCTCCAGCTCATTTTGGGAAGTGCCACATAAAGTCACTAGGCTGGAGAACAGCAACAGTGACAGCAGCAGAGAGGTGAGGGCCAGGCCTGGGGGAGCAGCTGCTGGGTTCTGCCCTGTCCCCCCATCGCCCAGCTGTCCCCCTGCCTGGCTGGCAGGGACATGGCTAGAGGTCGATAGTCAGTGCAATAAGCTGAGCTATTGGTGACAAAACAGAGACATGGGAATGCCAGGGGTGGTTACACCTCCCTGCAGAGAAATACCAGACTGGGGTATCTGCTATCAGGACCTCGCAGCATCCTCCTCTCCAGCTGCTCCCCTCCCCAGTGAAACAGGCTGCCGAGATAATCCATGTGAAAAGTCCTTACTGGAACTGACATAAACCTGAGCAAAATCTTGGAATTCCCACCTCAAAAAAACAGAGAGCAACTGCTGCCTTTTGATCTGGTCCAGTGTTTTAAACCAGAACATGTGCAGGGAGACAGTGTTTCATTCACTGAGGATAACTGCGGCACGTAAACAAAATGGGGAGACAAAAATTAAACCTATCCATAAAAAATCTTTCACTATTTGAATGAATACTTCCAGAGTTTTGCAAGGCAGCTGCACTGTCATTTGGGCTCCCAGACAGACAGGCAAAGCCCAGCTGAGGGACACTGCCACTTCAGGACTAGTGTGCAAGGTAAGAGCAGCCACCAACAGGCTGTTCCTCAGCTCGTTAAATGATGAGCAGCCGCCATCACTATAACGATGAGCTCAGGTCTGAAGTGACTCACCTTCACATTGCCCCACAATGCAGAGAAAATGAGTATGCAAATGTTTTAATTAGTTCTTCAGGCGAATACTTGTCAGGATTACTTGTGCTGTGAGTAGCCAGATCTGCTGTGGGCTGCTCATGGAATTCAACACGTTCTATACGCTCACTTTATTCTTAATAAAACCACAGGATTAAATCAAAAGCCCAGAGCTGCGGGCAGTTATGATCCCATTAGCACACACTGTTTGGTCTGCTGCATTGAGCGTAATCACTACGTGTGAATCCAGAGGCGGATGCAAATCCAGTGCACCACACAGTACAGTCAGCGTGCCCCATGCAAACTGCCTCGCTGGTGAACTCTGGTTCTTCCTTCTCCCAGCTATGGTCTACATCCTCACATCCATGGCTGAGAAGTTCTAATGGGTCTTGAGATGACTTTCACTTTGGTCTAAGTGAGAGGAGAGTCACTAGCAGCAATGCTTCCAGGGCACTAGCAGAATATTTCTCAAAAGCGCTAATATTTCCCTGTACAGAGTCACTTCTGCAGAAATCAAGCACCTACCCAACAGAAAGTACATCCATTATAAACATCCATTATAAACTTATAAACAGAACATCATCCAGGACCAAGCAACAGCAATACAACCTTCCTGGAACTTGAAAGGTGCTGACAAATACAAAGAGAATTAAAATGCAGCTTGGGGAACATGAGGATAGACAGGGTCACGTGAAGCTCTTTAAAGAAACCACCTGAGTGAGCGACAGCAAACAGACATGGCTCAGGCACATTCAACAAACTCAGAGTCTTCAAAAATGCTTCCAAGGTGATGCTCAAAGGGCTCTGCACTGCCAACTCAACTAGGTGCATCTTGAGGATAGAAGGCAACTTGGTGAGAAAGGACTGTGGTCCCAAGGCCCCAAACTCCTGTTCCTGTGGAGGGATGAACCTAAGTGGTTTGGAGTTATTTAAGAAGTTTATTTTCCTTAGGATATGTAAAAAAATCAGGTTCATGTTTCTCAATTCATGCTTTGAATATTAAAGTTATTTCAGCATGTGATTGTGTTTTCTGTCTCAAAATTCCTTTTACTAACAATAAACCCCATGTTAACACAAACCTGCTCTTTTCGGTGGTGTAACTGCCTCCACAGTCCAGGCCTTTCGACCTGCTCAGAGGTAGAAATGTTCTCAGAATTTCAAAACTGAACCCGTGTTACCAACAGCTTCCCTACCTGCTGTACTGGTGACATCATGATAAGAGAATGACATTTTCTGCTCCTTGATTTCTTCAGGCAAGATTTCTAAATATTAAAGGTGAAGCGAAGGTTAATTTTAAAGTGCCTCATATCACAGAATCCCAGACTGGTTTGGGTTGGAAGGGACCTTAAAGCTCATCCAGTTCCAGTTCCTAGATATTAGGAGGAAGTTCTTCACTGTGAGGGTGGTCAGACACTGGAACAGGTTGCCCAGGGAAGCTGTGGCTGCTCCTCCCTGGAAGTGTTTAAGGCCAGGCTGGATGAGGCTTTGAGCAACCTGGTCTAGTGGAAGGTGTCCCTGCTGCTGGCAGGGGGGTTGGAGCTGGATGAGCTTTAAGGTCCCTTCCAACCCAAACCATTCTATGATTCTATGAGTCATTGATGTAGAGCTCACACACAGAAACCGTATAAACCCCAGTGGAAAATTATTTAATCAAATGGGTCCAATTTCTCCAGCGAATGAGCCCTCTACCACCTCCACTTCCATAGTGGTTTGTAATTCAGAACACACTTCAAACTGTGTATGATTCTCCTCTGAATCAGCACCAAATGTGTTTGTTGGATTAATGACTTTTTAAAAAGTTATTATGTAGATTATTACAGTGAAGTTGAGCTTTGGGCCATACCTTAAACCCTCCCTGTTCACAGTGGCTGAGCACATCTAAACATCCGTGGCCAAAGGGACCCCGGGGGTAAGAGCCCAGGGAAGTCACGGCAGCTCTGCCGGGCAGGTGCCACCACCCTCTGATTGCACAAGCACTTGTCATTTCAAGGTTTCTCTTTGCAAAACTGGAATTACAGCAGCTGGTTTTGTGCTGCAGCAGATAAAAAGAGCACATATAATCCATTTAATTGGCTTCACATCAGGGTAGTCCCTTCCAGCTTAAGAAGCAACAGCATTTTAAACCACCCCAGCTATTTCTGCAGCGTTCACCTCACCAAAGCACACGGGGCTCTGGGATGTGCTGCCTGCAGTCATGTTACTCAAGACTGAAGTCAGATACTCTATTAACAAGTAATTAGAGTTCACAGAATCACAGAGTGTTCCTGAGGCATTATATGATAATAAGGCTGGGATAAATTCCTGACACTAAAATTGCTCTCAACTTGAGTCTGAACTCCTGGGAGAAGGTAACTTCTTAATAAAAAAGCTATTCTTGGCACGAGGATAATTCTGTCTATGGAGTCACTCTCGAGCGTTCTGTACGTCACGGTGATTTGTGCCAGAAAAACAGGGAGCTGACTGCCCTGAAAGCATCTGATGTACAGATAACCTGGAATCGGTGCACACAGAGATGATCTGCAATGGCATTGCCTTTCCTTGTCCCCAACCACCTCCTCCTGAGCCCAGAACACAGTAGGGTGACAGACTGCAATGCCACTTACACATTAAATATGCATTTAAAGAAATATTCTGCTTTTTGCAGCTGTCTCATGGCTTGTAAAACATCAGGAAGGTGTTATTAAAAATCTACCCCTCTGCAAAGGAACGATGTAGTCACTTGACCAAGGAAACACCTAATAAACCGACAGCAGCTTTGGATGGCAGCTGAAAGGACTGTAAGGCCCAAAGCCTCTCCGCCCGCCCTGTTTGGGGTCTGACACGGATCTTTCAATGAGATCCGACCACCAATTTTTCATTTATATGCACAACTTACCTGTCAAAGTGGTGTTGAAATCTGTGTGCTTTAAGGTTAAGGCAAGGCAGATAAGGTCTCCTTCTCTGGAGACATTCAAAACCCACCTGGACGCCTTCCTGTGTGATCTCATTTAGGTTCCTGCTCTGGCAGAGGGATTGGACTGGATGATCTTTCGAGGTCCCCAACATTCTGTGATTCTGTGATTCTGTGATTCTGTGATTCTGTGATTCTGTGATTCTGTGACAAGGCAGCCTGAGGATCCTTCTGGACTGAGCAGCCAGGGCCTGTTCAGGATACCGACTTAGTTTGAAATAGGAAACTCTGACAACAGGGCTGCCCCCGGGCCAGACCTACCCAGGGAGGGTCACCAGCTTCAACGAGACCAGCTCAGCCAGAGCCAAGTTCCTTCTGAATGAATATTGCCCCAGGTTAATTCCCAGCCCACAGAAGTGAGTCAGATCAGGAGGGCAGGCTGCTTCCTGGTCCCTGGAATGCTGGGTGCCACCTTGGGTCAATAACCAGGAGGAAGGGCACGGGCTGCTCTGTGGAAGGACAGCCAGCAGGCACCGGCTGCCAGCAGACGTGGCAGGTTGTTTCCAATAGACAGCGATGCAGAAACACAGTTAAATCCCAAAACGTGAGGAGAGAGGCAGTCTGCAGCAAAACCTGATTTTACAAATCAAAGCAGAGCAAATTAACCTTTTTTTTAAATTTATTTTTTTTATTCACATCCCTTATTTGGCAAAAGTTCACAGCCAGCACCTCTAAAAAGCTGACTGTGCTGCCAGCATTACGGTATTGTTCATTCGGTTGTGTCGAAGTCCAGGTCACAGCTTTCGCTCACAGTTTCCACAGCATCAGCTCTGGGAAGCAAGAATTCAATTCAAATTTGTTTTTCAACTAAACACTTGTCTACATTCACTTCAGCAAGTGTATCCCTGAAATACCTTGGTATGATTTTGGAAGCAAAAAGTTTAAAAAGGGAAAATTCCTACAAAAATGCTATAAATTAAGAAAATAAAAAATTTATAAAATTTTTAAAATGAAAATCTGTCCTGTCAGATATATACTATATATATTCAGCACTTTGGAATGAATGGGCATCATCAAGACACCACATTACCACTGCACCCCTGACATTCCAGTACAGATTAGTTGATCCTATGCTGTTGTGACCAATTCCTATTAAAGCTTTCATCCTTCATAGCTTTCACCAGCCAGTCCCTCTCATTCTCCTCGTCAGACTCACTCAGATCACTGGAATCAGCAGCCAGGAGATGAGAATAATTGATTTTTTTCTGGCGTGGCAATTTAGATTGAACAATTAAGAACAAGAAGAGCCACAGCACCAGGCAGACGCAGCACGCCCTGTACAGAACCGCCAGGCCAAAGTACTCCACGATAAATCCTCCTGCAAAGCTGCCCAAGCTCGCTCCTCCACCGTGGCAGAGGCCCTGGAGAACAGCGTGCAGGGACCTCTCCATGCCTGGCGTGGCTACGTCATCCACTGTCACGTTAACCACCCACCACAGAGCTCCGCTGCTGAAGGCAGATAAAAGCTGGACAAAGAGAACTGACCACGCCGTCCACAAGAAGGAATAGCACAGCAGCTGCACGGTCAGGAGGCTCAGACTGGCTGCAACAATCCTGCTGCTTGAGAAACTCCTCAGCAACTTTCCTTTGAAGAAATAAAGCGAAATTTCAGCAAGTAGCCCAATGGCCACAGAGAGCCCCATGTACAGCTCGCTGCTGCCTCGGTCCTGCATCTGCCAGAAGAGAAAATTCTGCACTGCAGACCCAGCCGTGGCAGCGAGGAAGATGGTGATGGCACACAGGACTGCTCGGCCGTCACTCCACAGCAGGGCCAGGGCTTTGGCGCTTCTGCTCACACGGCTGGTTTTCTTGGGAACGTGGATGGGAAAAAAGACACTGACAAGCAATGAGAGCGTCACCAGGAGAGCGTAGCCATAGAAATGGACAGCGAGGCGGGAAACTCTCCTGCTGAGGAAGCAATTCAGATGATCCACGAGTATGGCAATGCTGCAGGCACCTACAGAGGCCCCCAGGTAACTCCAAATCCACAGCCTGCCGTACCTGTCAGTCGCGTCGACGAAGTCGAGATATTCATAGAGACCCTCATCCACTGCCCATTCGAAAGAAGCAGCCAACAGCTCCCAGAGCACAACAGCACCCAGCACCATCAGAAAAATCTGGTGCTTTCTGTCCTGAAAGATGTTTCGCACTGCCTTGAAGCTGACATCTTGAGCATCTTTCTGGTGGTCTGAAAGGTTTCCAGATGTGTGAGCGTCTCCAACAGTAGGAAGAGTTGTTTTAAACCCAGACAGTGCATTACTTTTGCCAGCATAAAGGCTTTCTTCAGCATTAGCAGCAAGATCTACTGCAGTAGAACCCAGACTGGTCATTTCCTTCTGAAGTCCATGTAAGGGAGGCCTGTAGGAAGCTGGTGTTTCTGCTTTTCGTGTCTCCTGGTTCACTGCTTGCAGAGAAGTTGTCCAGCTGCCGTTTGTCTTTGTATCACCTTCACCAGCCCCTCTGTCTTTCTTCTCACGTGTATCTGTCAGGCCAAATAATCCCTGCAAGGCTGAACTGGTCAGTGCTGACTTTCTGCTCGCTACCAAAATGTCAGCAGTAGTTTTCACCATTCCTTTTGACACAGCTTTTGCGTTCGTAACAGCCTTCACGCTTAAAGCACCGTAGCTGCTTGTGCCCGCTGCCGGCACGGTGCTG